TAAGCCTTGTAATCGAGCTCTTTTACAGCGGGCTGCGGCGATCATGGTCAGGCGCTATGGTCAACATGCAATTGTACATGAAACCAAGCTGTAACATGCATGACATGCAACTGGAAAATCAATTCAAACGTACTGGGGATTTCAACACCCCCCTCGCCGGGTGCTCTTCGAGCACGTAGGCGTAACTTGCGTGCGATGCAACGCAAGAAACGAAATCCTACGATCGACCGACGAAAGGTTGCCCTCCCGTTTTCCAGTGTCGCCGCTCTGATTCGGTTGGAACGAATTGTGGACAGCTTACCATGTCCGTAGCTGGTTCATTATGACCGCTACGCAAGTCCTTACGACTGCTGCAAGAGCGTGCAGGCTACCCGTTACACATCAGCAAAGTTTTCATCAACTCACTTACGGAGGACCAAAACAATGCTGGGAGTAGCAGAACAAAAGAAAACGCGACACAATTCAGATAAACCGATTTGAAGTGCAAGTGTGAACGGTGTATAGGTGAAAAGTAGACATGGGTTAGGATAATGCTTTAGCTAACCCTCCGTGATCCTCCACAGTCACACACGCAGTATATTATGAAAATTCCGGGCGCTCGGCGCGGGCAGAACAAAACGCGCGCATCAAACTCTCAACACAAAGAACAAACAATAGTTCGGCCTAGGGTTTCCCCGGCAATCGAAATGTTTGTTGTGCTGGGTTGACCCAGTCACTTAAACACCGGGAATAACTCCGGCATGATGCGTCTTGTGGTGAATACTGAACTACTGCCACTCAGCGCTTGCCTTTGGACTTGCCCTTCGCCTTCCCCTGGCCTTTGCCCTTCTGGCGCTCTCGGTTGGTGCGCGCCACCTCGGCCTGCTCATCATGGGCGGCGACCATCAGTTCCACATTGGCGCTGAACCAGTCGATGAGGTACTTCTTGAAGTCTTCGACGTTGTACACCGACGGGATCCTCCAGCTGCCCTGGAAAGTGATGAGGGTCGATGTGACCCATGGTAGATCAACTCAGCGAAATTCTTAATGCTGAAGAAGGTGCCGCCAAAGCCGATGCAGACATCGGGGTCCGCCGCATCTGTGATGAGGTTAGCCGCTCGAAGGGGAAATCCGTACATGAAGACGGTCCTCGCCGGGTACTCTTCGACTGCCTCATCCATCGGCGTCTGGCTTGCTCCCAGATTAAGGGCACGCTGGGCTGCGCTGCGTTGGGAAGCTGAGATGACTGCGTGAGTCAAGCAGCCCCAGATTCTGATGTTGGCAATGGTCTGACCATCCTCCAACATATTGGCAGCGAAGACGGGATCTTTATCGTACCTCTCTTCAATGGTCTGGAATCCCTTCTCCTTCGCTCGGACCAAGTGGTTTCTGGCACGTTCCAGGGTGGCAGCTTCAGGGCTCTTTGGCAGCTTCCCTGTGACATCTTTGGTGGGCCTGATATCACTGGCTGTCAAGTCTGCGAACCTCACATTCGTGGTTCGGCAGATGTCCCTGAGCAAGTTCTTCCTGCAAACGGCAAGAAAGCCTCTGCTGGCCGAGGAGAAGTTTGCCGTCCTGCGGAGCCTCTTGTTGCAAGACGTGCTGGCCGACGAACACCACCGTGTTGCAGTTGTCGCAATCATAGGTCTTGAATTTCAGGCCCTCCCGATCCACTTCGATGAACGGCCTGGGGTCTCCCCCGGCGCCCGCTGTGGCTTTGCCCTTCTCCTTTGGTGGAATCTTCGGGCTTGCAATGCTCTTTGCGGGCGCTGCTGGCGTTGTCGAAGTAGCCTTCGTGAAGGCGGTCAGGCGGAACCCAGAGGATGTCCCCCAACGCAACGAGGCCCAAACGGCCACCAGCAAAAAGCCGAGGAATAGCGCCTCGGACGAGGAGAGGACGGATCAGCAACGCGGCGCTCCATGCAAATGATGAAGGAGGGGGGCAGTGGCAGACTCTCCCTTCTCTCGGACGGGCTGATGCGATGGCGAATGCACGGACAGTGGCCTTGCATGCTGTTTCCGGACTCGGGCTCTACCCCGTCCGAATCTATGACTGTCCTTACAGACATCCGGGCACGCTACTGGATTGGCTTTCTGCGTGCCAGTGCCAGCAAACCAAGGCTGGCCACTGGCCCTCTCCGTGCTCTTTCCTGGGTGGCCCGTATGGCCAGCATGGATGCAGACAGGGACGGACGTAGCTCTCAAAAAGCCAGTGGATCATCTCTGAGCGCAGGCGGCCGATATGGACGGGCAGATGGACCTGAAGGTGGAGCATATGGGCCAAGCAGGAGAGCTTTGGCCCGCCTGTATGCAGGCGCATACCCTCCTTCCAGCGGCAGGCAGACTTAGGCACCGGCGGAGGCGGAAGGACAGGAGCAGCCCGAGGAACGGGTGCACGGAAGCCCCCGGCAGGCAGGCGAAGTCCAAGGCACGGGTTGGGAAAGAAGGCAAAGGCTGCAAGGTCACCGGCTGCTGTGCACTAAGCTGAGCCCAGCGCTGCCTGATGCGCGATGTAGTGCGGGCAGAGTCCTGACAGGAGCAGTGGTGACATGCAAAGCCAGAAACATGAACAGACAGAAAACAGAATGCAAGCAACATGGTGCAGTGCAAGGCTATGATTTTCATCCAGCGTGTGGTGTCACTAGCCAGCTCGCGAACAGCACTTACGGCTGAGCGGAAGCGGAACAGACCACAAAAATCAGGATGATTTCAGCTATTATGTTATCATACCTGGCCCCGCGGACAGAAAACAGAATAAGTTTTAAATACGCTACGGGGGCTCGGACGGATGAGGGCTCGCCCGTCCGGAGCCAGAGACAGCTTCCCTCCCATAGCAGCAGTCCGACACCCAGGCTGCTCCGCCCATCCAGCCTCAGGGTGACGCCGCCCATCGCCAGCACCGTCCCTGCATCCTGGCGAGACTCCAGGGACTCCAGGATCTCAGGTCTGACCAGACCGATCCGGAGCAGCAGAGGCAGCCCTGATGACCCGTCTGGCTCAGAGGCCCTGACAGACAGAGGGGAGACTCCAGCATGCAGGGAAAACTCAGGGCCCAGCCTGTGGCAGGAGGACCAGAGTGTGTCAACCTAGCTGGTGAAGAGGCTTCAGCAGCAGTGTCTGTGCTTGGCGGACAGACGAGCAAAAGGCACAGGGGCAGTCGGACGGAGTCCAGCCTTCTAGAGGAGGAACGGCCTGGCCGGGGCAAGCGTGCAGCACGATGCCCTAAAGTGACGTAAAACCCCACCTCGAAGGCGAAGTCGATGCATCCATGGCTCATGCAGATGAAGCGGACAGCAGTGCAAAACTCACGTCCAATGTGTACATGTGCGCACAACGGACATGAAACGCATGTGCAAAAAACGGACAGAATGCATGTCCTAAGCATGGCATGTAAGACCAAAACATGAAAATCCAAAAAGCATGCTACGCTTCACCTGCGAGCAAGGATGCTGCGGACGGAGTGCAGCATCCTTGCCGTTGCGTTTACGGACAAACACTTAGGATCAAGCTCCATATCGGAAATCCCAAATTCCTTTCGCCAACACCATCGCCAGCTTTCG